GAGGCTTGGCTGAGGAGCCGCTCCGCAGGGCCTGGCTCATAGGGAAAGCAGGGATGGCTCCTGTTGGCATTCCCATCTTCCAGAGACACAGATCACACAAAGGCTCCCACTGTCTGTGAGCTATCAGATATTAGGGAACAGCACCAACTAAGACGAGCTGCTGGAGCGGGTCCAGTGAAGGACAATGAAGCTGCTGAAGGGTCTGGAAAATACCTTATGAAGAACGGCTGAGGGGACTGGGGTTGTTTAGTCTGAGGAAGGCTCAGGTGAGACCTTATTGCTCTCTACAACTACCTGAAAGGAGTACGGAGCCAGGAGGTGCCTGGTCTCTCCAAAGTGATAGGACAAGAAGAAAGGGCCTCAAGCTGCACCAGAGGTTTAGATTGGACATTAAGAACAATTTCTCCACCAAAAGGGTAGTCAGGCATCAGAACGGTCTGCCCAGGGAAGCAGTGGAGTCTACAAACACTGGTCCACAGGCACAAAACTGCACCAGCCTGGCTGGCTTCTGAACCCTAGCGCTGCTCCTCCGATGGACTCACATGTGCTGCAGGGATTACAAAGCCTGGATGTAGCCAGGAGCTCTTCCTATCCCTCAGGGAGACACTCTGTGGCCAAGCAGCAGGCAGGCACAGAGGGAGGGAAAGGGGCTTCTTACTCCCCCACAGCTGGCATTTCTGCAGCCTCCCTCCTGGATGGGTGAGGTTTAAGTTGTTAGAATCCAAGGGTTGCAAGAAAGCTGCAAAGGCGAGTTAGGAGTATTTAATGTTTTTACCAAGTTTAGCTCATAACTGTATTACTGTTCTAAACATTCACACAATGACTGCGTTCTGCTAAATTAGACCAGCAGTGTACAGGGATCAAATATCTAAGCATTTGCAGAGGTGAGTTAGAACAAGCACAAAATCATGTATTAAAAATAAAATGTACTTTAACATCACTGAAGTAAATTCTGTTAACCTATCAGGCTGACCTACGGTAACAGTTTATTCTAATCTTAAAGGTGTCGATAATTTTAGAATCAAGAATGACACATTTCTGTCCATTTAAAAATACTTTATTATGAGATGCCACGTTCAAACTTTTTCCAGCTCTGAACCTTCACTGTGCTGGCACATACACACCTAAAGAAGTGATCATCGTCCCTTGTGAAGCTTTCCCAGTGCTCTCCATTTACTTATAGATTCTTCGTGGCTCACGCAGAATGACACCACCCTCCTGCATAGCTTTTTCGAATTCCTGAATCTTGTTTAACAGAGAGAGAGAAAAATAAATAGGAAGAAAAGCCATTGGCACCAAAATATCAATGGAGACACGTAGCGTGGAGGAGCAGAGGTAACAGCCTCACTGAAGCTTAACAACAGAACTGCAGCTTGTCAAAGCTACCCTTTTGAGTGTCACAAGAAGGGACTGTCAAGCCACAAAAGAAAAAACTAATGGTGAAGAAGAGTAAAATTAATGCTTTAAAAAGAAAAAACAGCCAAAGAAGTGTAAGGAGACGGTACTTGCCGAATCACAACGATATTCCCAGGGGATAACAGCTTTAAAGTTCACAAAGTTGATTCCTGCTTCCAAACAGCGCTGTGCCATCACACGGCCAAGGTTTCTGCATGCTGCTACTCCCTTGGGACTGTACAGGTGTTTCTTTATGGCCCACTCCCGGGTAGAGGCAGACAACACAACATCCCCGTTAGAGCGCTCAACAAAGGCTTCTACATAATGCTGTGTCCGCTCAAGCCGTAACCTGAGTGAGAGAAAGAACTAACATGGGATTACCATGTCTTTTCCAGATGCAATGAGAGAAACCATTCAAATGCTTAAATGCGTAAGTGACTCACTTCATGAAATACAACTGAATATACTATGACTATAAATAACGAATTGATAATACTGCTTTTGTTATCTAGGTTTTGCTTATTAGGACATAAAATAGGACTCTCATTACCAGTTCGAGAGAGTGAAATTCCAAGAGTGACTTCTTCCCAGTTACTCAGGTGCATGGTTCTATACTGCCTCACACCAGCAGTCCCTCCAAACTCCAGACCAAGCACTGTGCTCCTATGCAGCATGGTACAGGTATGTGTGAGCTGGGGAACTGCTCTGGCAGGAATGTAATGGCAGGTTTGCTATGTGGTCTCTTAAAGGCTGGTGCTTACACAGCATGAAGTGACTTGTCAGGACTGGCACATGGTCAAGCAGTACCTCATAAACCACAACACATAACCACAGGGCATTAGGAACAACTATTTCTTACTGCACTGAGAAAGTAACAGATTTCCAAGTATGAACAAACTGGATGCGAGTCTCTCCTCAAGAACAAAATAATGATTTTTGAAACCCCATCTTAAGATGAACTTATTTTCCAGGGGACAAGCAATCTGCATTTTCTAATTAAAAAAAAAAAACCAAACAAACACAAAAAAAACCTGTACAGACTATTATGGTGCCTCAAATAAAACAATGATACATGGTCAGCACAGAACTAGGAGAATCCCAAGTTAAACAGTATTGGCTTAAGCAAAATTACTGCTACCTTGAAAACAGATGGCAAGATCTTCAGTGCATGGGCTAACTTTCACATGATGCTAGCCTACTGTTCTCTGAACACAGCAGATACCTGTTAATTAAGAATAGCCAAAGGGGCAACTGATTCAGCAACCCAAAATGCATATTTGGTACAATTTCTACCTGGTCGGTTTCTGGGATTTGGTTTTAGGTGGGTTTTTGTTGTTGTTTGGGGTGGGAGATCTTGTGTTTATTTTTTGAGTCCTCATTTCTGCAGGTGGTTTCCTGACTCACCTATGCCAGAATTCACGCTTTGGCCACGTTGTCTTCCAGCCACGCTCCTTCCTAGCCAAGGCCAACTGCTCCAAGTTCCGAGGATTCCTGTTAGTGAAGTCTGGGGCAACAATCTCATTTTCGCTTGTGTCCACTTGGGTCTCAGGCTTGACACTGGCTGTAGCTGATGCAAAACGAAGACCTTGTGGGGGAAAGCAGAAATGCAATTCCAGAGACTTAAAAAAAAAATAAATTAAAAGTAATGCTGACAATACAACAAATACAATACGGAATGATGCAGCTTGTAAAAGTTAGCAGGGCAAAACCTGCTTTGAAAAAAACCCAAACAACAAACAGATCGATTATCAGCTCAGTTTCTCCAATTTATGAGATGAGCTATAAGCTAAGACTAAAAAAGTATACTAAGATTTAACACTGGTTCATAGCTTGTACATAAAACATAAATTCAGGCATGACTTGAAGTTTCCTGTTTGCAGCTTTACAAAATACTGCCAGAGAAATACACAAAGAACCAGTAACAGTGCTACCAAATAACAAGGTAAAAAACCTTGATCCTGACGGGCTGATCATCACTAACCTAACAAATATGAAGTTAGAGTCAGGCTTCCAAGCTCAGTCTGCTACACAGCTTCTCGGCCCAGAGAATCAGCGGGAACCTCCCACCGTAACAACGGGGACGGCCTCTCCTTGTCAGAGCGACCGACCGCGCGACCGCCCCGGCCGGAGACGCACCAGCAGCGCCCCCATCCCACAGCAGGCCGAAACGCCGTTACAAGCCGGGGCTCG